AACCGGTCGTGGAGGTGGACCCTTGGGAACTGCCCGATGCGAGCGCCCACTCTTGCGCTAGGTCCATCCCACCCGCTCCCAACTCCTCCACTGCGCCCCCGAGTTCCCTCGTCCTGTTTTGCTGCTTGTCCAGGGCCGAACTGGGGGCGGAAGGGCGGCGGAAAAGCTCATATCGCATTGTTGAACGGCTCGAAAAATGCGCTTTGGGCCTCCAGGTGGTTTTCGGAGCCTGCCAGCCTGCTCTGGGGATGGTAGGGCGGCGGAAAAGCTCAAATCCAATTTGTGGACGGTTCGAAAAGGCGTTTTGGGCCTCCAGGTGGTTTTCGGAGCCTCCAGGGCTGCACTGGGGACGGAAGGGCCGCGGAAAACCTCAAATCGCATTTTTGGACGGTTCGAAAATGCGCTTTGGGCTTCCAGGGGTCCTCGGGGCCTCCAAGGCCAAACTTGGGACGGCGGCCAGGGCTGGGCCCCCACCATCCTGCGCGCGACCGGTGAGGGCGCGGGCGGCGCCCTTGCCTTCCCAGTTGTCCTTGGGGATGACCCATGCCAGGAGTGAGTGGTCCGTGCTGTCCCAGACCGTAGTCCAAGCATTTTCTTTCCTGGCGCTGAGGAATCGCCAGCTGTCGCCAGAGCCCCCTGGTCCAGGGGGCACGATGCTGTCGACTGGTCCGTCGAAGGCACCATGCGTAACGTCTGGGCCCAGTGGCTCCCCTGGCTCGTCGGGTAGCTGGGCCCAGTGGCTCCCCTGGCCCCAGGGTTCCTCCTGACTCCTGGTTGAACTGAACCTCCAAACGCCTCCATATGATTATGTAGACGCACACGCGCACACGTCATCTGCAAGAACCGAAAACCGAAATGGAACTGGCTGAAACGGAACCGCCCTCTGAATGGGAACCGCCTCAAACAGCTCCGAAACCGGAACCGTATTGAACCGAACCAATTTCCCCCAACCGAAACGAACCGAACGGAACTGGGGACACGCTGCATATAGGGTTCGTTGTTTTTGTTGGATGTCCGCGTCGCTCTGCCCAGGATAGTCTCAGGAGTGGCGTGTTCAAGAAGGCCCCAAGAAGGCCTAAGAGTGGCCCAATAACCTTCCCAGACAACAAGAGAGGGCCCCAGGAAGGCACCACGATGGCCCGAGAGAGCGTCTGGTGATCGTACAAGAGGCCGCCAACAAGATAGTCCGCGAGGGTACCCAACAGGCAACAGATTGCCCAAGAGGCCTTCAAGACGCCCCAGGGACCTCCGGAGACAGCTCAGCAGGCCCCAGAATTGCTCCCAAGACGCCTCAAGAGTCATTACAAAATCTTCTCCTCCCCCTCACACTCTCACGTGTCGCATAATGTCAAGACCCTCCATCCTCCCTCTCCTCCTCCTCCTTCTCCTCCTCCTCCTCCTCATCTTCCTCCTCCTCCCTCCTCCTCTTCCTCCGCTTCCTCCTCCTCCCTCCTCATCCTCCTCCTCTTCCCTTCTCCTCCTCCCTCCTCCGCATCCTCCTCCTCCTCCTCCTCCTCCTCCTCCTCCTCCTCCTCCTCCTCCTCCTCCTCGCCTCCTCTCCTCCTCCTCCTCCTCCTCCTCCTCCTTCTCCTCCTCCTCCTCCTCCTCATCCTCGTCCTCCTCCTCCTCCTCCTCCTCTTCCTCCTCTGTTCTCCGCCATATTCCTTGCCATAGTCATCAATATCGCGAGATCGGCGGATGGTGGGTCAGCCGACGGATTCCTTGGGCCCCCGACTGCCCTCAACGCCCATCGGTCCCACTTTGGGGCTCTGCTGCATCGCGGCGGGCAAACATCGGGAGCAGCATCGGCATCGGCGCTCTAGCGCCCCCGCGGTCCTCCATGCTCTTCCGCAGCTCGTCCATGCTCCGCTGCAGCTCCATCATGCGTTTCATCTGTGCATCACTCTCCTTGCGCGAGGAGGAAGAAGAGGAGGAGGAGGAGGAGGCGGCGGCGGCGGCGGAGGAGGAGGAGGAGGAGGAGCGCGCGCGCGCGAGCGCCACAGCTGCGCCTCGGCGCATCGGGTCGCTCCGCGGGGGAAGTGCACACAAGGCCCTGCTGGGCCGACCCCAGGAACAACGGCGACTTTGCCTGCTGCGCCCCCCGCAGCATCGACCAAAGCTGAAAGCAAACGCATCAGCATGGGATTTAACAAGTCCGCACCGCCAGGCGCCGAGGGCGGGGGAACGGACAACGCGCAGACAGCCATGGCGAAATCCAAAAGCTGGGCTCGCCCAAGAAATCGTTTGTCGTGGAGATCTCAACCGGACGAAGCACTGACGACCCCCCGACCTTCGAAACGCCTTCGTGCGGATTTCGAGCTCCTGGAACTCCCACTGGCCCTCTGTGCATAGGTGGTGAGACGGACTCCCCACTCAAAGAAAATAGTCTCCCCCCCGCCCATTCCCTGGGAGATTGGATTCTCGCTCGCGAGTGGTTGGAGCGCCCGAGATGGATCCAAAATGGCCATGGATGTTCCCAAGAGCCACCCAATGACCCCCGAGGCCCCAAAAGAGGCCCCAGTGGGCTTCCAAGAGGCGCCCAAGAGGCTCCCTCGAGAGGCCCCCCCAAGCCAGCCGCATGCCCCACAAGAGCCCTCCGGGAGGCCCCCGAGAGGCATCCCAGGAGAGACCCTGCCATGCATCCCGGAGGCTCCCGACCCGGTGGCGCGTGGGGCCGAGGGCCAGGAGCTCCGCCGCCCCCCGTGCTTGCCACAGGGGAACACGGCGTGCTGGACCTCGAGCGCTTGTGGCCTCCAGGTCGCCCACGGCGGCCCAGGGAACCTCCAAAACGGCCCACGAGGCCTCCGAGAAGGCCTCCAGGCCAGCCCCAGGGGCCCAGAACTCCTTGATGTCCACTCGGTGTTGCGAGGAGTTGGGCGCCTGCTCATGTTCTGCTTCCCGACGACCCAAGACTGCGCCCGAGGCCACCAAGATGGCCCCAAGAACGCCCAAATGGCCTCCGAGATGGTGAACAGTGTCTTGTTCGGCGTTTCGACGTTGGGCGCGAAAGGGGGAGCTGCTCCGGGCCTCTGCCGAGCGCGACTGTTTGAAACAGTGCGTCTAGTTAGTCCGAGTCCTATGGCGAAATCTTAAGGGGGGAATCTTGCGGGGAAATCTCGTGGGGGCATCCCACTACAAATCCCATTGGGACATCGTGTGTGGGAGACTTCTTGGGGGATCCTACAGGGAAATCTGAATCCAATCAGAATCCATTTGGAATCCGATTGGAATCTTCACGATCTGCGATTCTGAAGGATCCAACAACAATTTGCTCCCCCCGGGGCATGTTCACCTCTTTCCTTCCTTCCTTCCTTCCTTCCTTCCTTCCCGCCTCCCTCCTCCTCTCCTCTTTACTCTTGCCTTTACCTCTACATTTTAGAGGGCTGCTGGGGGGCTCAACGAAGTGAGGCACCACGCAGACTCTGACTAGACCTCGCCATCCCTGAAGGGCTGCGATCTGCGAAACTGTCGCCACGTTCGAAGGCTGCTGGGGGGTCCAGCGGAATGATGAAGCACCTCCCAGATTCAGACCAGTCCTCGCCATCCCCGGTGGGCTGCGATCTGCGAAACCGTCACCACTTTCGAGGGTTGCTGGGGGGTCCAGCGGAGCGAAGCACAACCCAAATCCAGATTACACCTCACCATCCCTGGGGGACCACGATATTCGAAAATGTCGCCATTTTCTAAGGCTGCTGGGTGGGTTCGGCGGAACGAAGCACCACCCAGATTCTGACTACACCTCGCCATCCCTAGTGGGCTGCGATGTGCGAACCCGTCGCCACTTTCGAGGGTTGCTGGGGGGTCCAGCGGAGTGAGGCACCACGCAAATTCTGACTAGACCTCGCCATCTCTGGGGGGGGCTGCGATCTGCAAAACAGTCGCCACGTTCGAGGGCTGCTGGGGGTGGTCCAGCGGAGTGAGGCACCACCCAGACTCAGATTAGACCTCGCCACCCCTGGGGGACTGCGATCTGCTCCCGCAGTGCGAAGTGCAGGAAGCAAGCAGGGAAGCTGGTGGGCGAGCCTGGCCTCGCTCGCTTCTTGCCTTAACTATAAGCAGGTTGTCATTGGGTCGAACGCCGCGGCGACATGGCGCAGGCAGCACTGCATATTTAGCGTACTACACGCTTCGGCCTCTTCCCGTCACTTTCGTTGTCGTCCTCTGCCCCCTGCCACCTTCCTTCTGCTGCTGCCGCGCTGGCGGTTCGGCTTCCGTTGCTGTCCTGTGAGTCGTGCCACGTGAGCGACCCCATGTAGCTTGAAAAACATATAACGGCGCCTGCTCTGTCATTGTCCTGGCAAGCTTGAGCCAACTCCTCTTGTCACTTGATGCAAACGGGCCGGGTACGTCACAGGGGCGCCCTGGAGCCCCGTTCTAATTCCCCAACCTCCTACGTTGGGTACTCGCATTGGCTAGAGCACTGCGCGCGCGTTTCCATTTCCTCCTTCCCGCCTCCCTCCTCCTCTTATCGTTCTTACTTGCCTCTTACCTCGCTCCCTCCTGCGTGCCAGCTTGCCTCCTACCTGGTCATCCCTGCGGTGCTGCTGCGAAGCTCTCGCAACTTTCGGAGGTTGCCGGGGGGTCCAGCGGAGCGTGGTACTTCGCAGATTCAGATTAGACCTCGCCATCCCTGGGGGGTGCGATCTGCCAGACTGTCGCCATTTACGAGGGTCACTGGGGGTCCAGCGGAGTGAAGCACCACCCAGATCCAGATTGTACCTCGCCATCCCTGGGGGGCTGCGATCTGCAAAACTGTCGCCACGTTCGACGGCTGCTGGGGGGTCCAGCAAAGTGACGCGCTACAAATATTATGACTAGACATCGCCATCCCTTGAATGGTGTTCTGGCACGATTTGGGATTGTCAGGACGCAACCATCACGTTGATTCGCGGTGTTGGCTGAAGTCCCCAGAACTGTGTTCTAGCATGCTTTAGGACTGACAGGAGGCAACAGTCACGTTGATTCGCGGCGTTGAAGTCCCAGTGATGGATGGCGTGTTGGTACAATTGGGGAACTCTGACACGGTCGTCTTCGAAGGCACTTCCCGCAGTAAACATGAAACCTCATAGAGACCTGAGGAGGGAACTTGGGGGAGGGTTAAATGCAGCATCGTTGACGCGTCTTGGGTTTACACCGGTCATCCTCCTCATCCTCGTCCACCGAATCCTGCCGATCGATCCTCCGCCGGCCCTTCCCCACGTGCACCTCCTCCTCCCATCCGCTCCTTCTCCTCCTCCTCCTGCTCCTCGTGCTCCTTCTCGTCCTCCTGCCCGCTCCTCTGCGGAGGAGCGCCCTCCCATGGAAGCGTGAGGCGTTGGCAGCGTCGTCTGTGTCTGACTCCGCCGACGTCCGCGATTCCCAGGACTGCAGAGTCGCGCGCGATGGCTGGCTGCCCCCCCTTCGAAGCCATGCGTTAGCCCAACATGGATGCACATGTAGGTACAACATTGAGCAAAATGACCCCTCCACCTCCATCTTCCATACCTTCCGACCTCTGCGGAAGGCACGGAAGGTGATGCATTGAAATTTTTGAAAGCTTCAGGAAATGCAAGAAAACTCAGCGTTTCACGAAGCGCAAGGAGTGCGGAAGGTCAGCACGGAAGGTCTGGAAGGATGAGGGCGAGGGACTAGCCCTAGCAATTTCCATGCGCTTCTCATTTCGGCGGGGGGTCGGCGGAACGGCGCTATCCTCTCGCACAACAACAACCCCAGACTTAGGGTACGGGAGAGCGCATCCTGGCGAAGGGCCCAGCCACATGCAGGCGTCAATGCCACAAGGCAGGTGGGACTGGCCACGAAGCGTGTGAGGGGTGTGCCGACATGGGCGGGGCGGCGCCATGCAGGCCCTGCCGCCGGGACCTCTGGTGGAGCTCAATAAAGGGGCCACGAAATGTGCAAGGGGTGTGCCGAAATGGGCTGGGCGGCACCATGCAGACCCTGCCGCTGGGACCTTTGGTGGAGCCCACTATGGGGCCACGAAACGTGCAAGGGGCGTGCCGACGTGGGCTGGGCGGCGCCATGCGAACCCTGCCATTGGGGCCTCCGGTGGAGCTCCCCATGGGGCCACGTGCTGTGTGAGGGGTGTGCCGAAACCGAAAGATGCGGAGGGCAGAGGCAGGGATGTGAGGAGAGAGGAGGGGAAGAAGGAGAGGAGAGGAGAGGAGAGGAGAGGAGAGGAGAGGAGAGGAGAGGAGAGGAGAGGAGAGGAGAGGAGAGGAGAGGAGAGGAGAGGAGAGGAGACGCGGGGCACTGTCTCTTCAAAACGAAGGCCGCAACACCACAGGATGGTCGGGAGCTAGCTCCCTGGAGTGTGGGGGAGAAAGGGGGTGGACGAGGCGGGGGGCAGGGAAGGGGGGTGGAGGGGGAGGGGGAGGGGGGAGGGGAAGGGAGAGGGTGGGGCGGGAAGCGAGGGGACGGGAGCGAAGGGGGGAGGGGAGCGAGGTGGCGGGGGGGGGCGGCGGGGGGGATGACGGGGGGAGAGGCAGTGGCAGCGGCAGGGCGAGGGAGGACGAGAGAGAGAGAGGAAGGGGAAGGGGGAGGAGGGGGGAGGGGAGGAGGAAGGAGGAGATGAGGAGGAGGAGGAGGAGGGGGAGGAGGGGGAGGAGGAGGAGGAGGAGGAGGAGGAGGAGGAGGAGGAGGAGGAGGAGGAGGAGGAGGAGGGGGAGGGGGAGGAGGGGGAGGAGGGAGGAGGATGGAGGAGGAAGAGGAGGAGAAGGAGGGGGGGGGCTGGGGGACAACCCGACTGCGGGCCACAAGCCCAGTCCATCCTCCGAACAAGTCTGGAAACTGTGACCTCCCTCGGGCGGCGTTCCGCGTCCTGATGCACCATGTCCAGGCTGCTCTCCAACGCGTCCAGCTCTTTTCTGCGATTCGAATCGTCCTCCACCTTCACGGTCTCTTCCTTGACCTTCTCCTCCTTGACGTTTTCCACCTTCACGTCTGCATCGTCTCCGCCACGCCTCGCTTCCTTGCCAGCCTCTGCGTTGGGCTGCGAAACCTTCCGGACGACGTCGGCCTTAGCCACTGCATGCTCCGGAGGACGCGAAGGGCTTCTTGTCCGCTCGCGAGGACGCGAAGGGCTTCTGATCCGCTCCCGAGGACGCGAAGGGCTTCTTGTCCGCGGCCGCGCGGGCGCGCCAGCCTTGGCAACCGCCTTGGCCGCTGCAACGCTGGGCTTCTTGCCCGTCGCAGTTGGACCTGCTGCTGGCAGAGCTATCCACGCGCTTCGCGCTACGAAGCTCGCTAAAGCTGGCTGTCGAAAGGAAGGGGAAGACAGAAAGAGAGAGAGAGAGAGCAATGAAAACATATACAGCATATTATACGTATACGAATATATATATATATATATATATATATATATATATATATATGTGGAGGGACCAGGCCGCAGCAGGGCTGATTGTAGGGAGGGAAAGGAGAAGAGAGGGAGAGGCATTCGCCTTCGAGGCCCCGCAGCTGACCTGACGAAGCGGTGGACAGCAGTGCCAGCTCGACCACCATGGCGGGATCGACGGGGCCGTCGTGCGGCACGAACCAGCCGCTCCTGCCGAGAGACACGATGCACGGTCACAATAAGATGATCGTTCGGTCCAAGAGGGCCTCGGGACGGCCCAAAATACACCAAAAAATGGCCCCTGGAGGGCCCATCGCGAAGGCGAGGAGGCCCGAAAGAGGCCCCCAAGAGAACCCCAAGAGGTCCCCAAGAGCTGGAGCTTGTCGCGTGTCCCCGCGTGCGTCCGCGCGACAATGCCAGAGGCAAGAGGGCCCCGAGACGGGCCAGAAGACTCTAATAGGATCAGGGAGTCCCGAGACGGACCAAAAGCTCCCCAGGACGCCCAAGATGGCCACCAGACGGCCCAAGAGGCCCCCGAGACGCCCCAAGAGGACTCCAAGAGGCCCCAAAGAGGCATCAACAATCGGTGTGTCAACTATTCCAAACCATCCTGTGGTGTTGGGTCCTCGTTTTGAAGAGACAGCACCCCTTGTTCCTCACTCCCTCCTCCTCCCCATCCTCCCTCCTCCCATGATCATCATCATCATCATCATCATCATCATCATCATCATCATCAGCATCATCATCATCATCATCAGCAGCAGCATCAGCAGCAGCATCATCATCATCATCATCATCATCATCATCATCAGCATCAGCATCAGCATCAGCATCAGCATCAGCATCATCATCATCATCATCATCATCATCATCATCATCATCATCATCATCATCATCATCATCATCATCTTCATCTTCATCTTCATCTTCATCAGCAACAGCAGCAGCAGTAGCAGCAGCAGCATCCTCACCACCACCACCACCACCATCACCACCACCACCACCACCCATCATCAGCATCATCATCAGCATCAGTATCATTATCATCATCATCATCATCATCATCAGCAGCATCATCCTCATCATCAGCAGCATCATCATCACCACCACCATCATCATAATCAGCATCATCAGCATTATCAGCATCATCACCATCATCAGCATCGTCGTCATCATCAGCACCACCACCATCATCATCAGCATCATCATCAGCAGCATCATCATCACCACCATCATAATCAGCATTATCAGCATCACCAACATCATCAGCATCAACATCATCATCGTCGTCATCATCGACATGATCAGCATCATCAGCATCATCGTAATCAGCATCATCGGCATCATCACCATCATCATCATCATCACCACCACCACCATCAGCATCGTCATCATCATCAGCATGATCAGCATCATCAGCATCACCACCATCATCGCCATCATCATCATCCTGATCATCGTCCTCATCATCATCATCATCATCATCATCATCATCATCATCATCATCATCATCATCATCATCAGCATCACCATCAGCATCAGCATCATCATCAGCATCGTCGTCAGCATCATCATCAGCCTCTTGCTCCTCCTCCTCCTCCTCCTCCTCCTCCTCCTCTGCCTCTTCCCCTTCCTCCTCCTCCTTCTCCTCCTCCTTCTCCTCCTCCTCTTCGTCATTCTCATGATCCTCCCTCTCCTCCCAGGGCTAGTTTGGCCAAACTTTGGCCCAACGTTTGGCCACATTGGCGTTTCCAGAAAGTCAAGGGCTGGTGGTGGTTCGCCGTAGGCGTCTTCGATGACCCGTAGACTGCCTTCCAAAGAAAGCACTCATTGGGGTCGGGTCAGCCTCATTCATAAAGGCTCATTGTCCGCTGTTGCTTCCCACAAAGACCAGAATGGGTCCCAGAGAAGCCAAATGTGGCCACAAGACGGCCCAAGAACGCCCCAGCACAGCCCTAAGACCTCTCGGGGGACGTAAAGGGGTGGGTAACGGTAGAGGTGGGGTTGGGAGGAAAATCGCTCTAAACGGCTCCTGGAAGGAGGAAGTGTCAGCATCCAGCTGGGTTCGTTCCACCCCCGAACCTCGAGAGCCTTGAACCAGGGGAGAAGCAAAGAGGGCCCCGAGCCAGCTCCAGACCGGCGGCCGGCCCCCAAAGCTCCACTCCAGTGGGCGGGGCGGGGGAGTCCGAGAAGGCCACAGGATGGCCCACGAGGGGACAAAAAGCCCTGCGAAACAAAGCAAACTGAAGGGGCCCAAGGACACACAAACACACACACACACACACAAATCCCAGGATCCCCCATATGTTCCGTGTTTTCGGGACTTCTGTCTCCCCCATCCACTTCCCATGTTTTCCCACAGCTCCCTGTGGACCGACGATTAACTATACATATGTCTGTGTGTGCTTCCCCTCCTGCTAGAACAGCCCAACGGCGGCTCTGCCCGAAAGGGGAGTGGACGATGCACCTGTCTGGCAGTGAGGCCCGCGAAGCGAAGCAAACGATGCCGACACGGTGCGTCTTCGCCGCCCCCTGGCGATCCTGGGAGGCCAGCGGTCCGAGGGCGCGCCGGGGTGGCGGACCCAGGCGTCCTGCCCGCCGAGCGTCGGCCCGATCCACCAGCCGGTGAAGGCGGGGCCGTCGCGGTCGTCCCAATAGTAGATGAAC